CGGAATTACAGGCATGCGCTACCACGCCTGGCTGATTTTTTTATTTATTGTAGAGATGAGGTCTCGCTGCCCAGGCGGGTCTCGAACCCTCGGGCTCAGGCAATTCACTCACCTCAGCCTCCCAAAGGCACGGGATTACAGGCTGAGCCACCGAGCCCGGCTCTTGAACACATTTTTAAAGGCTTCTTTTGCTATTTTCCTCTCTCCTAAAGATGTTCCTGTGAGATGATTGAGAAGGGTTAGCATCTGCTGCTCCCTTCAGTGTGATAGATAGGGAAATCAACACAAGTAACTTTTTTTTTTGTAAAGGCGAGGTCTCATTATGCTGCCCAGGCTGATCTCAAACACCTGAGTGCAAGCAATCCTCCAACATTGGCCTCCCAAAGTGCTGGAATTGCAGGCATGAGCCACCATGCCTGTCCAAGAAACAAGTAACTTTTTAAAGAGGGCTTAAGGTCCAGTGTGGACAGAAACAAAAAAGTCAGAATTCTGGTCCAACAGTTTCACTAGTCAATGTTTATTTCACCAGGTGTAACTGACTTGAATACCGCTTAGAATACTTACATCTCTTCTTCATATTTACTGTCTATTAATTAGTAAGATATAAATTTGACTTAACTTGGCTTTAATTAAATAAATAAGAGGATGTTACAGTTGTGTTTGCTGATTTTTTGCATATTATCATTTTACATAAACACAGAGTAGGGACTCATCATTTGAATAGCTCCACAGCATTCCAGTGTAAGACTGCCGTAGTTTGCTTCCCCACTCCCCTTTTCTTGGGTCTAATGGAGATATAGTGAGCAGTATTTTGCACACTTATTTGGCAATAGAACTTTTTTTTTTTCAAAGTTGTACACATCCCCTTCTTTCAAAGTTTTAACTTTACCGGGGGCACATGGCTCATTCCCACAGGTGGTCATTTAATAAAATAATGAAACAAGGGTTGCTGTGAACAATTGTGCAAAATGTGTACTGCATAATCCAGGGGGCACTGTTTACAATTCAGTGCTTGTGAATGGTGCATCCTGGCATTGTGTAATACATAGTCTAGGTGGCCCCATGCAAGGGACCCTTGTAAGTAGCATTGCTCTTATAAGTTGAAAACAATGGAATTTTGGAAAAGGAGGCAGTTTACATATATGATTAGAGATACATATCAAATTTTGTCCTCCAGTAAGATAGAACTTAAATTAGAATAATTTTTATCTTATACTTAACATTTCTTATACTTAAAATGCCTCATACTTGGAATTTCTGTGGTGTGGTTAAGTTTTGACAATAGCTTTCATAAACAGTTTTAAAATTGATTATTGTTTTGAAATTTAGGAGAATATAGTAGTCATCATAAGCTAACAGCTGTAATAAACAAGCTTGCAATCTCAGTGGCCTAATGCAATAAAGGTTTATTTTTCTCACACGTCACATCCCATGTGGGTTGCAGCATGTGTGGGCTCTGGACCACACAGTCATTCAGGGACCCAGACCTTTGAATTTGGTGACTCCTAAGTCAATCCTTTGTGACCTCAGAGTCCTTCACTATCTCTTCTGCCTCTGGTACCAGATGAGGGGAGTGAGATGTGGGGAAATGCACAGGAGACCTGGGAGTGGCATCTGCCACCTCTGCCCACAGGCCATTGGCCAGAGCTCACTCCATTGGCTCCACCCAGCCACAAGGGAGGTCGAGAAATGTTTGTCCCTGTGCCCATGTAGAAGAGTAACTGGGGTTTAGAGACAGAGATGAGTCAAGTTTGCAAGGCTGATCTCTTTTCTGTATTTTGTTTCTTCTCCAGGAGACTTCTTGGCATCATCACGAAAAAGGATGTTCTGAGACATATGGCCCAGATGGCGAACCAGGACCCCGAATCCATCATGTTTAATTAGCAACAAGGTGGCAATTATTTTGAGAAAAACACTGACTATGTCATTTTAAAACAAATAAATGATATATTATTATCCCAATGAAAGATCATGCACTGGGGACACTAGAAACAAAAGCTTTGTTTGAAAGGAGGGGACGAAGGATGAAACCTTTAAAAAAAACAAACAAAATGAAAATATCAATTAGTAGACATTTTTTAGCTTCAACCCCATATGAGTTTGGAGCTGTGTTTCCTAATGAGTTTGCTAACTGCTGTGGGGGCATGTGGGTGGGTGTCAGTGATGTCTGTATGAGGACGTGGAGCACGAATGCTGACTCGAGAAACTTTGACCCCTTCTGCTTAGGGCTGATGTTTGTAACTTACAGACACATGTGAAGCTTTGAGTTCAGAAGGCAAAGTGACGTCGGTGTGTCAGCGTCCTTATTTATCGATTCCTGAAGTTTTGCTGCTATGTTACTGAATAATACTAAAGATACTTACTTTGTTGGAAAAGAAAAAGAAATTAAATTTGAACACAGTGAAAACTGCAAGTATGCCAGTGGGTTTACTCACGCCCATCCCATTTCTTGCTCCTGTTCTCAGCCTGTGATCTGGCTTATCCATCAGTTTCGGAACCAACATCAGGGGTGCCACCATGATGAGTGTGAAGAAATCATTTCTCTATGCAAGACTGGCATCTGGGAGCACACGATGGACTGTTGGAGTGTGTTGTGCTGCACTGTGTCTCCACCCATACACAGGGACACATCTTGATTTTGAGGATCTATACTCTGATAATTGATTTGCAACTCCACTGCATCTGCTTCATTTATTTATTGCTGTTGCTTGTGCATTCTTAAATACTGGGCTACTCAGCACTTCCGTGGATCATAGCCTGTGTGTCCCCAGCCTGGTATAAGCGTGCTTTCATTTCCAAGTAGCATATGCAAAAGTCAAAACAAGCTACCTAGTGTTACTACTTATTTTTCCTCTCAGGTCTTATCAGATATGGCTTTGGAGAGGGTGAGGCATATGAGTTCTCAGTGGGAACTCCTCCAAGTGGTTTGCAAGAGAAATACTAAATTGATTCTAAATTTGTTCCATTCTCTTCTCTGTAGGATGCAAAATGGCCTGTTTTAATGTGTAAGCATGCACTTTTATATGAACAATCACAGCACAGGAGGACAGTGTTATGTTTTATACAGCCAGTTTGAGCATTGGGAATCTTTGTATTTGAACTTGACACATTTATTCATTTAGTCAGGATTTCTGTCTTTTCTGTGGAAAGGAATTAAGCTGTGTTTTAGGTCCACTGTATGACCTATGTAAATAAGATGATCCCACTTCCCTTTCATTTTAGTCTTTGCTTCCTCCTTTTCACTAAATCATCCTCATCCTTTTCAATCTTATTGTCATTGGATAGTGATGTATCTGTTGGGTGTGCATTTGGCTGCAAATAACAGAAAACCCAATAAACATTGAAGGGCTGCCTAAGAAGCCTGAGAGATGGCCACTCCAGGACTGTTTACTTAATATCATCAAGGAACCACATCTTTTAGTTATTTCTTTTTTGCCATGCTTACCCTTTGTCCTTTGGCTCTTTATCTCATAGTCTTGAGATGGTTGCTGAACTACCAGGTATCAAGTCCGTTTTCTAAGTGGGAAGAGGAAGGGAGAGGCAAGAAACTAGTTACAATGTCTCTATCAGGAAAGCAAAGCTTCCCTTGAGATGCTTACCTCATATCTGTTGGCTAGAAATCTGTCATGTGGTTTTCTTCCCCTAGCTGCACACTAGTGTGGAAAGAAACATTTTTAGCTGGACATGTTGCTCTCTGTATGAACTTCAGATTCTCTCACTAAGGAAAGGGAGCTAGTCCTTGGTAGGGGAAGGTGGTTGCTGTATTGGATGCTATCACTGTGTCCTTGTCATCATCCTTCCTGTCTTCTCTACTCTTTCTTGCCAAACTCCTACAAACACACTTCCAACCTTTTTGCTCTTCGCCTCTTCTCTTAGATTTGACCTAGACTTCCTGACCACAATCCATTTTTCTTTGCCCTAATAAGCATTTTCATTTTGGATAAAAACTTGGCTACGAGTGGGTTTCTATGAAACATCTAGTTAATATATGAAAATGTATTTTCTCTGGGTTAAGAAATTTTAAGTCATGCTGACACACTATAGAAAATTTGTTCCTGTAATTCACTGGCCGCCTCCAGAATAACATCAAACAGCCACTTCAGTGTGGAAACATCTAGTCAATAGTAGATAGTTTAATCTTTGGTCCTATAATAGAATGAAATTTATTGTCTCATTTATAGCACATAAGCCTTGAGCAACAGATCCTTATGTTAGCATTGTTGTTGTAGTTTCCACAGAACATTTGCAAGTGAAGCTGGCTTCTCCTGGACTTTGAATCCTAGCAGGTCTTAAAGATAGCTTCATGTAGTTCCTCTTCTTATTCCCGTGTGGTCCCCTTGGAGATGGCCTGTAATGGGAAAGAGTATTAGTCATAGTCTGGCTTTATATAATCCAGGAGGTCCTTTTAGCTGAAGAAAGTAGCTTCAAAAGGGAACATGAAACAGTGAACAGATAGCCAGAGGTCAGTGAAACCACAGCATTTCTTTCTAATCCAGTTGAGGCCATGGAGGGTAATAAAAGGATAGTTTACTTTGGGCCAAGGTCATGGAGAGGGAGCTTGGGATTTGTGTCCTTTTCCCCAATGCTTAGTGTAGAGATATCTGTGAACTCTTATTTTCCTTTGCAAGTTGATCTTCCAATCTGTTATGGGGTTCAGGCTCTCCTCAACAGAAGACCAGGATAAGGTGGGTGGGTTAAGGTCAAGGATGAAGAGCCTGCAGTAGGAACTACCACAGTGAATTGCCTCCTCCCATGGAGACTTAACTCAGTCATGTGGTCCACTCATCCAAGGGCTGAGGGTCTTAGACAAACTACATGGGGGAACATGCTGCTATGCTCTGTTTCTGTTTCTCATGAGAGTGCAGGGGTAGGGATTTCGAGGGTATTTGCTTTATCCAAACACGAAATTTTGATCTACGTTACTTGGTGATCTAATGAGCAGAACTGGACCATGGCAGGTATAAACATCTTTCAGAATAATCGTTTTTTTTCTTTTTCAAAACCAAAGGCTTTAGACCTTTGTAGAACATTTTGGGTTCTTTTGGACTCAGTTTTTAATGTAAAACATCAATACATTGTGGAAAAGCAACTCTCTCATGAGGCACATCACCTGTTTCTTGCTCTCCCTCGCTATTACTGAAGAAACGTGTTGCAGAAAAGCACCAACTAAGGGGGCCCTGGAAGTGACATGCGTGTTTCTTCTAAGTGGTTTACAGTACATCCTTTGGGAATGCAGATACTTTGTGGTTTTTAGGGACAGGTGAATGTGCTAGAAGTCTGTCGTTCAATGTTTAGTGCTTGCTGTTTGAATTAGGCAGTCTCAAAGTTCTCTATTCAGTCTTTCTCAAAGACCTTACAAGAAAAAGATGTGTAAATAGACAGATTTTGAGCCCTAATAAGTCACAGAAACTGAAAATTTTAGAGCAGTTTGTTTCACTTAGGTGAGAACTGATTACTTTAAATTACCAACATGTGCAAATTCTGCTTTGTATTCCTTATTAGATGCTGAGCTGGAAAAGATGAGAAATGCAAGGAGAACGATTGAATTACCACATAATTGTAATATTATGCTTTCATTTAAATTTCACATGAGCAGTGTTTTTATCAGACTAAGCCTCTAGCCTTTGAAATGATTTACATGAGGAGGGAAGCTTGTATATCTGACTGGGGAAACATTAAGCAGACCCCATTTTTACCGGTGTGGTAATAACTATTTATTTGCCATCCTAGAGGTGCTGGAATGAGCCTATGTGTGACTTTTATGAGATATATTCACATTTGGTGTTGGAACGACCACATAGCAATGTGTTGGGTTTTTTTTATGGTAACACTCTGTGTAAACGTTGACACCTTATTAAAAATTAAATGTTTGAACTCTATTTTTAAAAATAAAACAAGCACAGAGTTCTCAACAAACATGTTGTAAATGGAAGTGATATTGATTTCATAGCATGTTTCTACCCAATAGAACCCCCAGAAACCTGGTCCTGGTGACTTTGCTGAAGTATCCAGCAAAGTTAAAGACCCATCCTTAAGACTGTCACACAGATCGGTCAGCTTAAAAATCCCTTATTCTTGGCTGGGTGGGTGAAAGCCAAATAAAAATTCAGACTGGGGCTATCAGTTTTCAAGGATGGGGTAGGAACACTGTCCCCAGGCCTTCTGTATGTCTGTCCTGTGTGAAGGCTGAGGAGTACAGGTAGGACAGTAGTCTAACATTCATTCATTCTTCCAACAGAACACTTTTTGTCGATTACTCAACAAGGGTTGAGTTATGTCTTTCCCTACCAATTTTTTTTTTGTTTTGAAAACTTTACAGAAAATTTGAAAGAAATGAAAAGAACAAAGGATACCCACATACCCTTGGCCTAAAAGAGGTGCCATTTAATATGGGCGATGAGGAGAGTCCTCTCTGATTAAGGGAAGGGACAAGCTGTGGGGAAAGCTGGGTGAAGGACGTCCTCAGTGGAGGGGAAAGTAAGTGCAAATGTCCTGAGGTGGAAATGGGCCTCGCTGCTGGGGAGTCACCAGGGGTGAAACAACTGCAGGCTTGTGGTGGGAATGGAGGCATTTGAAGTTTTTCTCCCCCTTTTGAAGAGGATAGACACAAGCAGATGCCTCAGGGTCTTGAAGGGCCAGGTGAAGACCTGAAATTCAGAGAAGCGACATGATTTGACTTGTGTTGTCCATTAACCATTCTGGCTGTTGGACAGCAAGACTGGAAGCTGGGAGTCTGGTTAGGAGACTATGCTGCAAATAGGTGAGCAGTGATGAGAACTTGCCCCAGAAATGTCCTTGAATTCTGGATATGCAATTGCCCCTCTGTATCTGTGGGGAATTGGTTTCAGGCCTCCCCGTACCAAAATCCACAGATACTTAAGTCCTTTATTTAAAATAGTGTAGTATTTGCATATAACCTATGCACATCCTTCCTGTATACTTTAAATCATCTCTAGATTACTTAGATCACGTAATACAAGGTAAGTGCTATGTAAATAGTTATTGTATATTGTTTAGGAAATAATGACAATAAATAAAAGTCTGTACATGTTTAGTACAGATGCAACCATCCATTTTTTGATCCGAATATTTTTTATCTGCAGTTGGTTTAATTCATGGATATGGAACCTGCAGATATGGAAGGCCAAGGGTTTTTCCAAGGTAGAACCAACAGATTTGCTGGTGGACTGAACTTAAAATGGAAAAACCAAGTTGCCATTTACTGAGATGTGCTAGACTATGTGAGGAATTTTCTTTTGGAAATGCTACATGAAAGATGTCTATTGGAAATTCAGGTTCAAACTTCAGGGGAATCGTTATGGTTTGAAATGTAAATCATGCCATTGGCGTATCAATGGCATTTAAAGTCGTGCTTGAAAACTTCTGCAGTCTAATGATATTCCAGAACCGACTTCTAACAGGATTTCAATGTTGAGTTTTCAGGGAGTCATACCAATGTTAAAGGCCAATAGGACTGCACTTGAATTCCAGCTCCGAGTCCTGGCTGTGTGCCATTGTCAAAGGGATTGAATCTCTCTGAGCCTGGGTTTTCCCATCTCTGTAGAGTAAGCTACTGCTCTTGCCCCAGCAGCATGACTGTGAGAATTAAATTAGATAATCACTGTAAAATATTTGACATGGAATATGACTATGCAAATAGTAGGTATTTTCTCCCATTATGAAGCCCTCACAGTGTCTTTAACTGGAAATTAATTTTGTGTTGTTAAAAGAATATAACACTTTAATTTATAAGACCCCCAAAAGTAAACAGATTGGAATAGCCAACTGCCTTTCCCCCTAATTACTGCAATCATTTTTTCCAAAACAAAACAAACAGAAACTCAGACTTCTTAAGGAGTGTAAAAAACAAACAAACAAACAAAACCCAAGCTTCTTACTGACTCCAAAATAATGGGAAATTATAGAAAAAAAGCCACTTGTTGGAAAATTGCATTTCTCGGTAGCTTCATATTGGTTTGAAGAGCAGAAAAGCATAGTTGTGCATGAATACTGAACTGTGTATTGATTGGTTTGAAGTTTGGAGCAAGAATTTATGAAATACAATGTGTGTAACTTGCTTATTCTTAGACAATATAAAACCCAATACCCATGACACTTTCAGACAGAGACAAATCTCTCTGCATGGTGTTAATGTAGCAGTAAGTCTGTTAGTAAAACTCATGAAAGAACAGCCTTTTGCAAGCTGTGACCATTTCCTTCAACATGATGTAGTTAAAAGCCAGAGGAGAGAAGGAACAAATAGGATTTGTTTGAAAGGTGACAAGCCATCAGTTTGAATTCTGGGAGCTTAGCTACAGATAACCGGGATGGCCTTGCAAATAAATGCCTGAGTCATGTATGGCCTTCCCGAACTTTCATGGGTTGGGACAGGACCAGAAGCTTCCATCTCCTCCTGGGACAGTGCACTCCTGCTGAGCACGGGTTGCCTGGCATGCCCGTTGTTAAGGCTCTTCCCCAGTTCATTGGTAGTCAATTGGCCAGAAAGAAGCTACCATATGTGAAGGCAGATAGGGAGCATCTATTTCTGGCAGTTCCTCAACATTGCATTTCATTAAAGATTTTTTTTTCTTTTTGAACTAGCAATAAGCAAAGAGCACCTTGTGGGGATTTCCAAACCCCTTTAGTCAGGGTTTGGCTCACAGAGCGAAGAGAGCAATTTCTATGTGATTCCAGTGTTTGTTATGGAACACATATTTCAAAGATTAAACAGCCGTCCTCAATCCAAACAGATTCTGTCAGAGAAATTGAAAACACATCCATAAATTCTCGGCTTGCAGGCTCCTAACAGGTTGCATCCAGAGGACGTTCACTGGTAGTAGAACATTCCTTCTCCCAGGCTCTGTGTTCATTTCACACACTCACACTCACTCTTAAGGTTTCCACCTGTTTCCAGTCCATACGAACCCCAGCGGAAATTGGAGCTAGCTCCCTTCTGATGAACAGGTTTCCTTTTCTGACATTCCTCAGAATGTCAGACATTTCCAGGAATGGCTGCTGGGTGGCTCACATGATCAGAAAGGAACAATCTCCACAGAGTGGCCAGGTCGAGTTGCTTTATGGGGCAGGAGTCTTAACTGGTTATTAAGGAAGTGGGGAGAGATCAGGTGCAGCGACTTATGCCTGTAAATCCCGGCACTTTGGGAGGCCGAGGTAGAAGGATCATTTGAACCCAGGAGTTCAAGACCAGGCTGAACTGCGAGATCCCCGATTCTACAAACAATTAAAAAATTAACTGAAAATGGTGGTGCACACTTGTGGTCTCAGGTACTTGGGAAGCCGAGGTGGGAGTATCACCTAAGCCCAGGAGTTGAAGGCTGCAGTTAGCTATGATCATGCCACTGCACTCCAGTCTGGATGACAGAGTGAGACTCAGTCTCTAGGGAGAAAAAACAAACAAACAAACAAACAAACAAAACAAAACTGAGGCGAAAGCAGGTCTGCATGCAGTGGAGATGCATTCCCCAAAGGGCCTTTGGGGTGCAGTGTTTCTGCAGGATGCTGCAAGGTGCCAGCAGATTCTGTGGTTAACTACATTGGTGGCTAGAGCGTGAGGGTCCTGGGAATTTCTTTTTTAGTTTCTTTTTCGAATTTCTAGCTGAGTGACTAGAAGCGCGGACTTAACTTTAACAGACTGCAGCCATGTCATCCATAAACAGGGACTTTTCCTTATGCTTGATAATCAGAGTGGGATCTAGAAACGACCTGTGTCTGCATTGCTAGAGCCAGTGCCAGTCAGCAATGCAGAATCCCAGGTCTGCTGAGTCAGAATCTGAATTAAACAAGCCCTGGTGACTTGTGTACAGAGGACAGTTTGAGAAGTGTTGCCTTAGGTGACAGATGTCTGAACAGGTGATCTCCTGAGTTTACTTTCAGCTCTAAGATCCAACTTCTCCGAGATTTTCTCACTTCCAAAAGAAGAGGCAGTGATGGAGCCACTGGAGGAGGCTGCTCAGAGAAACGAGGTCCCAGAAACTTGGCACGAGGTCTCTAAGCCCTATTTCTCAGCTACAATTGCCCTCCTGCATGCTCTGTCTTAGGGATCTTGACCTTGGCATTAAGGACATTTGGGGCCAGATGAGACTTTGTGGTAGTGTAGAATGTTTAGCAGCATCTCTGGGCTCTACCTACTACACTCGATGCCAGTAGCACCCATCCCCCCAGGTATGACACCAAAAATATCTCCAGACATCGCCAAATGTCCTTGGGGATGCGTGTGTGCAAATCCGCTCCCCCTTCTTTAATTGTAGCACTGTGATTTATAGAGCACGGGAAAATGGACCACATTGGTGTTGTTTTGGTGGTTTTTCATAAGGTGGGATGAAAACTGCTAGTGTAAGGTGAAGACCAATGTGGACTACCTGCCTTGATGAGCCCTCACGACTGGGGAAGAGCCCCTCAGCCTTGAAGCAGAAGGCAACAATTTATGGAGAGGGGGTGCAGGTGCATTTGCTTCTTTCTGAGGACCCAGTGGTGAGCCCAGGAAGAGTGTAGTCATCTAATCTGTGCATACATCTCATGCCAGCTGGTGATTTTGAAGTGAATGGTTTCATGTTCAACTGTCTGTGACGGCCATGTTTCCCTTCCTCAGCTGCCTCCACACTCAGGCCATGCACGCGAGTTTCTTCGCAGAAGCTGCTCTTTGGTACAGTTCACTAGAAAGATTCAAACTGCTTTTCTGAGTCGACTTTGAACATTTTTGTGTCTTTATTGGAAGCTTAGAGGAGTGGTCGGCAAACTAGCACGTGACCAAGTGCAGCCTGCCACCTGTTTGTGTAGATCAAATTTATTGGCACATGGCCACATATTGTCCAGGACTGCCTCTTGCGTTTGCTTGTTTTGGTCTATGGCTGCTTTTGTGAGCCAACGGTGGAGTTAAGTCACTGTGACAGAGACT